TTGAAAATCTCTCTGTCCAAAAACCCAGTGACCTGTTGAACATCTCTCTGTCCAAAAACCCAGTGACCTGTTGAAAATCTCTCTGTCCAAAAACCCAGTGACCTGTTGAACATCTCTCTGTCCAAAAAAACCCAAGACCTGTTGAACATCTCTCTTCCAAAAACCCAGTGACCTGTTGAACATCTCTCTGTCCAAAAACCCAGTGACCTGTTGAACATCTCTCTGTCCAAAAACCCAGTGACCTGTTGAACATCTCTCTGTCCAAAAACCCAGTGACCTGTTGAACATCTCTCTGTCCAAAAACCCAGTGACCTGTTGAACATCTCTCTGTCCAAAAACCCAGTGACCTGTTGAACATCTCTCTGTCCAAAAACCCAGTGACCTGTTGAACATCTCTCTGTCCAAAAACCCAGTGACCTGTTGAACATCTCTCTGTCCAAAAACCCAGTGACCTGTTGAACTGTTTTTTTCTCTCTCTCAAGACTTAGCCCATCCTTGGTGAAAAATCGCTCCACGAGACGGCGTGCGGATTGCACCGCGCCAGGGTCTACTACCCGTTCCCGCTCCGCGGGGCTTGGGGCCTCGGCTTTGGCTGGACCTAGTGCGAGCAGCTCTAGTCTTGGTGAGTTTTTCTTCTTCTTCTTTTGAAAATTTAAAGAAAAGTATGATAGTTATTTAAATATATACATATATATATACACATTTAAAGAGCAAAACAGAACCTGGGCGGACTCCTTTTCGCGAATTTTGGTTGTGACTGCGATGGACATAGGGAGAGAAGTCCCCCTGATACGCGCCACATGCAGCATTAGAACAAACAAACAATACACAGAACAATGATTTTAAATCGCGTGTCGGGTGTGCAAAGGGCACTCTCCAGAGGTGCGAGTCCGAGCCCTTTGAGATGGAGACCTGTAAGCGGTCCAGGCTGATGCGGCGCTTTGTTTCTTTTCCTCGTGGCACTAGCGCGAGGGAAGGTGGCTGACAGTCCATGAGGTAAGGCTGGCCTTGTAATGGCGAACTGACGGAAGCGAGTCTTACATGGTTGTTGTTGGGAAACATTTTGACACTTTTGCTTATTGTGGTTGTGTGGTTGAAATCCAATCACTTAACTGCTAAAATTCATTTTTTTGCTCCCCTTCCAACGTCAACCAAGCTTAGAGGGACCTGTCTTCTTCTGGCACGTGTGAGTCGCACTCAGCGCTCGCTGAGTTGAAATGCTACAAGCTCGGCGCGGAGCAGTTCGAGGACAGGTATCTACTGTACCACGAAAGAAGCTTGGCATACTTAACACCAGGTCCCCGAGTAGTGCCCTTTTACCCTTTTTTTGGGGGAGGGTTCCCCTACTAAAATAGACTACAGAAAAAGGCTACCCTTATTCTAACATCCCTACTGAGGACCTAGAACAGGTCTCCAAACATCGCTGACATCCACGATGTGGACTTGCATGCATTTATTGCTGATGTCAACTGCTCGTACTTAGTACTGAGAGGGAAACACGGCAGCAATGTTTGTCCATGGTGTCGAGCATGTCAAAGCTGATTTGGGTAGAAGAATCACTGAGACTGCTGTAGCATTTTGGTTGTCTTGGCAACAGCGACTAGTCTTGACGGAGTTGTTTTTTTTGTTGGGGTATTTGTTTTGCGACTGCTAAGGTTTCCCTCTGTGGGTCCCTTGTGGTTCTTTCGGCTTGAGGGGCCTCTCTCTCGTCTTTTTTCGAATGTATAGGGGTCCTGTCAAAACAAGTCCCTTCTAGGCCCATGCTTGACACATACACCGGAAACGATTGGTTTCAAGGCTAAAACTTGCTCACAGGTTCTTATGATTTCTTTTTGGATGGCTTACACATCACCTTTGAGTTACACATGATCGGTGGAGCTTTCCTTGGATGGAGTGAGGTTTACAGGGAGCATATAAGGAATGCAGTCACTTGTTTTCCAACCTTGTTCTTGGACCTGCAAAAGCTGCAAAAGCTGAAGGTCGCAACAAGTGCTTGGAACCAGCGGGTATTGCCAGCGTCTCCCAAATGCAACTCACACATGAGTCAATGAGAAACAACGGGCGGCAGAAAGCCATCTTTGGAGAACTTTAAACCAAAGGGACCAGTGTCTAGGTCCGCCGGTAGTGCCCCTTTCCCCTTTTTTGGGGGAGGGCTCCCCTACTAAAATAGACTACAGAAAAAAAGGGTACCCTTATTGTAACCTCTCTACTGGAGGACCTAGTTTGGATACGCCGGGCTGAACAAACTTGCACGCCAAACCTGGGGTTGAACCCGAGGAAGGTCATGGCTCACAGTTCAGTTGGATGAGATGAGCAGAGAGTATTGGCCCCTCGGCGGGTGCTCGCTCTCTTGTGGGCGGTTTGCTTGTGCTTTTTTAACAATGCCGATTGGCACCGATTGGCCGAAAGTGAGCTCTCTTTTGGGGACATACTGTGGATGAACGAAATCCTGCACCACTGTGAAACCATGAGAAACCCTTGTTTGATAGTATTCACAGGGAAGTCATCCTCGCGGGGTTTCTTAGAAGGGCCCAGGATTTCGTCCATCCACAGTAGGAGCCTTGCGGGAAGATCATTCGCAAAACGGTACAGGGCGAAGACTCGGACTAGCCACGAGACTTCACGGGAAGCGGGACCTATTAATTTCGGCAACGTGGGTCTCAAATAGAATCGGAGGGTACCATTTGGAGGGAAACCAAAGAGGAAGCTCGCCAAAGGAATGTCAAAGGCTATTTTCTCAAGTGAGCCTTGCAACTTCCAAGGGTCTCAAAATCCGAGAACCTCCATGGTGATCAGAGGGGAAACATAGCAGAACCGGGATGGGAATAGGTTCCCGGTGAATAGGTTCCCGGTGTGTCACCTATCCAAAAGCTGGGGTAGGGTTTTCAAAGGTCAACAACCGGCAACGGTGTCGAGAACGCTTTTGGGTGACGAGCTCCGGATCAACTTCTTGACCTCGATGGTCAACTCATTAGAGATTTCTCGTATTTCTGCGTTTTTGATTTTGGCACTAGAACGGGGGCATATTTGACCATGGGTCAAAATCACGTACTAAAATGGGTGGTGCACCTACCCCAAATTGGGATCCCATTGGTTTTGACAACCACAGCCAATTCCCACAAAGGCCAATCCAATCGCCCCATGGCTTCTTCGGGAAACGTTCGAACAATTGTCCCAGGCTTGGATGGGCTTCTCAAATCGACCATTGAGGGACTGGGCCGTGGTCGACACACACCTAAGGAAAAGAGTCGCAAACAGCAATTTCAAGAAGCATTCAATTTGTTTGGGTTTGATTTTGCACTACAAGATCGACACCTAGTTTTGACATACCTCTAAGTTGCCAGAGGCTTACGTGGCTGTGTCACAGCGGATGCGTTCAGGCTGGATGACAACACCACGGAGCTCTCCATTGACTCGGTGCTCATGAACCCCAACACGGGCACGTGACTCGTGGCTTCAATCCCCAGGGGTACCTTCCGTTTCCATTCTTAACCCAGGCATCCTTCTTTCTAAAAAGACACCCAACACCCTGGGGAAACAGCTGGTGTTTGAAAAGAACGATGGTTGAAAAGAATGGGGAGTCAACCCCTAGAAAAAAACCCAGCATTGTTCTCTCCGTGTTGCGTGGCCTGTGTGTGTGAAAACTGGGGCCTTTTTTGGGATGTAAAGGGAAGCAACATGCTTCACCAACCATTTCAGAGGAGGCCCGGGTTTTGACACCTACCCGGTTCACGGTTTCAAAGTGTGAACCATCCCACACCCAATATGGTAAACATTTGAACAGGGTGTTTCTTTCTTTTTTTTTGGGGGGGTGTAAGAAGCACGCTTAAAAAAGCAAGGCACCGCCCAGCCCGTCCCAGATCGCGAAACAAAAAGATGAGAGCTCATGATTGGTGTTCTTGCTGGTGCTCAGCAGGGAATGAGGGAATGACCCTTGTAAACCATCCCTTGTGGTTTCGTTTGAGGCACCAATTCCTGGGTTCATTCCCAGATTCCCTACCTATCGCACCAGCAAGTTTTGCCAGGTACACCTTTGAGCAACTCGAGGTGCGATTTGAGACGAACGGCTGCCCGGTGTTCGAGTCCGTTGCAGATCCGACGACGGGCGCTCGTGGTTTTCTTGCTGGTGGGGGTTCCTTCTACTATATAAAACTTGTCCCTTCAACCATAAACTCACTCCCTGAGTTCCTGGACTTCAAACCTTTTGAGAAGACCGTTGTGGTGGTGATTAATATACAGTTTGGACTTCAGGAAGTGAGTAAACCAACGGAAGATGGATACGGTTTTCAGAACCTTGCAAGGTGAAATATGGGGGGGGGGAGGGGTTCTGTGAAAATCCATTTTGGGTGAATAACATTGGGAATGGTGAGATTGCAGGACTGGTGAATTGCAGAGCCTTGCGAAGCGAAATCTGTTTGACGGGGACCACATTTTGCTGATGTTTGGGTTTTGTAAACCAATAGTTCAGGAACGGATCCCCATCGTTTGAGAGAAGCCCTATACGCCCGTGAGCACATACTTAGCTTGAAGCTTGTTAGAACCCGTCCCAGGACCCGTACTATGTTGGGTAACCCTAAATGGGCTCTGACAAAATGGTTTGGTTTCCTTGGGCATGCCACACGAATGATCGTCCTTTTGTGCAAGCATATTTTTTTTGGAGCGTATCAACGTCCGGGCCTAAGCCTTCCGGCTTTTGAAAAGCTTGCGGGGGGGTCAATAGACATTCGAACTTGGCAACGCATACTCGCAGTTGCCCAAAGCGAATCGACCCTTTTACCTTGTGGTTTTCCCAATTTGGCCCATTTTTCGTCAAGGTCCCAAAAGGATAACCTTTTATTTCCAGGTCCTTTGGGCAACTGAGCATTTCTCGCCATTGAACATGAGATACTTTGGTATGGCGGCACCCCACTGTCCCTCAATGAGTTGTTTTGCTTGTGTGGGGGGGGACCTGGTTAATTGTCCAGTGAAACCCCTCTCAAAGGTTAATTTCCTCTTTTCAAACATGCTGCGGATGGACGCCATGTGCTTTGGATTCGCCGATGGCTTGCCCCATGATTCACGGGGTTTCATCCATCCTGACAGGTGCCGGTGTTTTTGTCCATCCGCAGTACCAACCCCAAAGGCCAGCAGAAAGCGGCGGAGATGTTTTCTGCGAGCAGTCTGAGCTCAAAAAGAAGAAGAAGTTGCGGTTCGATGGCTACTCGTAATTTGATTGCCTCAATTCAGTCCAAGGTTTCCTGCGTCACATCCAGTACGCAGAAACATTCCTCGTAGAGCCCTACAAGGAGTGGACTGATGGGATTGGCGATGTGCTCCTCGTCTCAACTGGACGCTTCCCCCACCTACGCCATGGTCAACAGATGAGGGAAGCATGTGGCCCACATATATAGTCTGATTTGATGGCAAGAGGCTTCTCATCAGGCCTGGTGAAAACAATGGCCCATCCCCCCTTGGCTTCCGAAGAACGCACCGACTAGACAAGGGACTAGACAACCCAAATGAAGTGTTCCGAAGTAATGACTATTGCAGGCCCAAGGTTTTATCATTAAAGTCACCCGTAGCTGGTAGGTTGCAGGACCCAATTTCTGTTTTTTTTCAGAAACCGTCAAATGGAGATGTAGTTGGCCCGCGGAGATGTCGGGAGTTGGAACAATCAGGGGCCACACCACCGAAAATCGAAAATCCCAAACTGCAAACTGCGGGGATCGGATGCGGCGCGGCCCCAAAATAGCTCTCTGAAGGGTGACGTTTGATCCAACGCTCAATAGTCTCCCCCACCCCCCGCACCCACGTTGCGTGGTGGGCAGCGAGTGCTCAGAGGCAATTGGCCGTAACCCCGGTACCCTGCAGATGCCATGCTCAGGACTTGACATTGCCATGTTGAGGGTATCCGTTTCCGTGTTTTTGAGTTGAACCCCCAAAACGGGATCTCGGAAACCATGTTTTCAGGGGAACGCATAGTTAGAGTGATGATCCCATTGTTGAGCTTGTCAATTTGCAGAGGCCCGTATGGGAAGAACACACGCTCAAGCCCGCGACAGACGCGCCGAGGATTTTCATCGTCGTCCTCATGCGGATTATGTACGGTGAGCTTAAGGAGTTGCTACCGGCTCTCTCGACGCACGGCTTACAAGAAGGAGCATCCCACCACCCGGATTGCTGGAATGATACATTGGCCTCTTAGTGTCTCTGTGTGTCCGTGTCTCTGTGTCTTTGTGTCTCTGTGTCTGTGTGTTTGTGCCTGTGTGTCAGTAACAATACCTATTTTCGGGTTGGCTTCCAGGAAAACCAAAAGGACAAATACTAAAAAATAATGGAGTCACCCACACACTCACATATGTTTATGTTGAAAGTTACCAGCCGATCTAGAGGATTCCTTGGGAATCTTGTGAAACATGTGATTTTGGGATGTATCTTTCAGTATTCCGCGGTGAGTGCCTGGGCCCCTATGAACTACCCCAACACGCAGGGAACGGACAACCTAGTTTGCCTGCCATGGTTTGCAGTTGGTTTACCTGCTTTACGCGGCGGGGATCGATTGCAATGTAAGAACGGGCCCCAATTGCTTTGGGTACGCGTCAAAATAATGGGAGTTCCCCTAGTTCCAACCTGCACAGGCATGATGTCAAGCTTTTGTTTGTTTGTTCTCCCAGAGTGAGACGATTTCTTCCATTTGGTCAAGTTTAAACAAAAACAACTAAAACTGTTGGTTTGAAGGGAATCTATTACTACTGGAATTATTATTTTTTTCCAGGGGACTTGAGCAAATGGAGGATTTGCAGCTGACCATGCGGGCCCCAACCCTTTCCCGAGCCTTTTGGAAGCAAGGGAAAGGGCCAGACTGGTTCCAAAGCCGACAAGCGGGAGCTCAGGACGGGCCTGGACGGCATCGCCAACTATTTGGCCTTCTGGAACATGGCAACTCGGAGCGCTTTCAAGGTTCCCAGACAAGCGGGAGTGGTTTTTGATTTCGAAGCCCACTTATTGCCAAAGGAAAAGCGAAATCCATGTGGGTACCCTCAAAAGAAACCACACCCAGGTTTGGTTGATGTTTGGGGGTTCTCAAGGGTTTTGAGTATTCGACACTGGGAAGAGGAAACCCTAGGCGAAGCACGCTGACTCTGTGCGTCGTGTCAGCACATTCCCGAAGACAAATTACGGGAGAGCGGTGGTTTATGTGAAGAAGAATGGGTGAACACACTGCAACCGCTTTTGGAGGCATGCACGCGAGCGAGTGGGATGTTGTCAATTGAGCACCGCCAAACATCCTTATGAAAGGAGTTAATTGAGGGCCTCTCCTGACGGAGCCTCGCGAAAGCTAAAATGCAGGGTGCGAAAGCTCGCGAAAGCTTGTTGCGAAAGTGGTTGAAGAAGAGCCCGCCGCGAAAGCGACGCGAAAGTGCATGTTTGCTGTTTCTGTGTTGCCCGCAAAAGCTCCGCGAAAGCGATCATTACAAAACACATGACCGCGAAAGTGAAACGTGTGGCCGCGAAAGCATCGCGAAATGTTCCGGGCAAGTGGTTTGTTAGTAGAGGGCTTTATGTACCCTATTGCTCAATTCTGAAGGGCCAAACCCTTTGAGCATGTCTATGAATTTCAATAGTTGTGCCCGCCTCAAAAACATGTTCGGGCACAACTCCGGTGATGTCCAAAGGATCCCCAATTTAAATTCGACCACATGTTTCCAGCATTGCCTGAGCATCCTCTTGCTTTTACCCTTCCTCCCTTTACAACGCAGACGCGACATGTTTCAATACAACTGGATCCACCTTTGTCAGGCACACGTGCCGTATGTGTTGGAACAGATCCACTAGCTCGTGGACAAAAATAGTTTTGTTTGTGATGTTTTCAGAGCAGTTGGTGTTTTACTTTGTAACTTGTACGTGGTTTGCAGAGCAGCTATTGCTTTGCTGTGTAACTTGTACGCGGTTTGCTGAGCAGCTGGCGTTTTACTGTGTAACTTGTACGTGGTTTGCAGATCAACTGGTGTAACTTGTACGTGGTTTGCAAAGCAGCTGGTGTTTTTTTCTGTGTAACTTGTACGTGGTTTGCAGAGCAGATGGTGTTTTGCTGTGTAACTTGTACTTGCCATTTCTGTATGTGCAGCGAAGCAATCAGGCCAAGATGCGGCGTGATATTCTTCCAGCTTAGGCTCGAAAGACAGACAGAAGCAAGCGAGCCCCAAAACAGCCCTGACGTGCAAGGCGCAGATCACGCCGCCTTGGACAGATCAGCCAGACTGCACAAACAACCAACTGAATCCATGCCGAATGAGGGCGCTTGAAGACCGGGGCATGACTCAGGCTCCCAACGCGCATGCTGGTCTATTGGGTCGCGTAAGGGAGCGCGCGCTGCGAGCTCATGTGGCTGTGGGTCAAAACCAATGGTACCATTTTGGGGTAGGTGCACCACCCGTTTTAGTGTATTTTAGTGGGGATTGGCATGTTCACTGGGGGTACGGGCTTGTGACCCATGGCCATGTGGGCTTTGTCAAACACGGATAAAGCATAAAGGTTGAAAGAGGGCTGACACTCCGGCTGCCTGCGCAAACTGGCGCCTGCAAGTGCTGCTTGTCGGGATACAAATCGGAATATGTATATGTGTGTGTGTGTCTTTTTTCAGGGTACCCCTGTTTTTGTGACTGTAAAGGAAACCAAAAGGAAGACCGCTGTTTTCAAAGAAGACACACCCATATCCACGCGCGTGCGTCTTTGCGCTGTCCCAGTTTTGTTTGCAGCTGACGTGCGCGTCTCAGGTGGACTGGCTGGTGATTATTTGGGGCTTGCTTTGCGCCTTGGCGTTCGAGCGTAGCAGCTTGAAGGCTGTGCAACTTGCGAGCTCACCGATTCCAAGTGTACGAGCGAAAGCCTACGGACCCTTTACTTGCCAACAGATGAAGCCAATCATTTTGTTAGGAATGATAGACTAGGTCCCCCAGTAGTGCCTTTTACCTTTTTTTGGGGAGGGTTCCCTTACTACAATACAGGAAAAAGGGTACTTATTCTACCCTCTCCACTGGAGGACCTGGTAGCACGAGTTGTCTCAAATGGTTTGTTGCTGCCACAGCCTCGGGGCTCAAGAAAAG